CTAACAATAGTTTTAAAAATCAAAACTGCAAAAGATATTATAATAATACTCGTACCAACTACCAACCTTTTTATCTAAAGCTAGACTAATTGCAGGCCATATTATTTTTGTTAATATGTGTTTAGATGCTAGTAAACTCTTCTCTGCTTCAATTCCTGAAAGATAAGCTACTTATTATAAAATGAGTAAAATGTTAATCCTTATTAGTGAGTTTAGATTTTTTTTATCCACTTTAAGAGGCTTTTGTACAGAGTAGGAATAATAATTTAGATCAAATTCGAGTTATACTGAGAAAAAATATATTAGGTTAAAAAAATGAAAGCCTTTTTTAATGTACCAGCAAAGATTAGTCATAAATGAAAGATTAACAAGTATAACTGAGGAATATAATGCAGCATCTACCGATTGACTGCATCAACCAATTCCCTACAATAGAGACTAGCGGTTTGAAGAGTCAATGATCGATAGCCAGCCTCCGTATTTTCCTTTGGTCCCATGCTTGGAGAGCCCCTGTTGCATTCACCGTCTTCATTGGCTGACGCTAATTTCTTCATCAACAAGGGAATTAACGCACCACGTATCAAGTCAAGGATAAGACTGATACAAGGAATTCGAGAAGGAAGGGTCATAAAGGATTCAAGCTCATGTTGTCCTGAAAAGAGAAGTTCAGATGATTGATGTGGTGCATTCGGAGAGGTACGTAGATGAAACCTGATTAATCGACGAAGGCAATCACGATATGAGAATCCTAAATGGATGAAATAGAGGAAAATGTATGGTTAAAATGGGAAAAATATAATATGGAAGGAAATCAACAAATAAAAAAAGTTAGATATAAATACAAATGATAGGTTGTGGTGCCGATAAAATTGGTAGACTATTATGCCTAACATCGAGTGACTAAAATGGGCTGTGGCGAGGAAATAAAGATGCCAATACAGTAGCACTTAGCATAAATAGAATTTATAGATATAATCTTCGAATTATGGTAGAAGGTTAGTTAAGCAACAGAGAAGCAAACAAATACTCTTGTGAACTCTTATTGCAAATACTATGCTAGGAAATGAAACCAATAATGATGGGTTTAAAGTGAACTTGCAAACAAATGGATTAAGTAACCCAATTTCAACTCAATTAGTTTAATGATTTTGAAAACTAAGCATATTGGTAGGAAGACCTAGAGGAACTCACCTAGTCCGGAGTTCATAGTATGCATGATCATTTCCAGAGTCGCACCGTGGACTTGATACTTTCCTAGACGTTTCGCCGGCATCGTAGTCGATATCATTAGTAGACCTTGAAATTCTTAGTATCATACTACAGCTTTTCAAAGAGACAAGTGAAGTCGATCCTTTGATCAATTGTCTATTAAACAGTTTCAGTTTCTTTACGTCTGTCCTGGGCTATTCACCTATCGAATATCTTCGTTTCACCTCTTCAATATCACAATTT